CACACCCATAAACATATTTGCACACCGATGTTCACAGCAGCATTATTCACAGTGGCCAGGACATGGACGCAACCTAAGTGTCCTACAATAGCTGATTGGCTAAAGAAGCTGTGGTACATATATACAATGGAATATTACTCAGTCGTAAGAAGAGATGAAATACTGCCATTTGTGACAACGTTAGATGGACCTTGAGATAATCATGCTAAGTGAAATAAGCCAGACAGAAAAAGTTGAAAACCATGTGATATCACTTATATGTGGGCTATAAACCTAAAAGCAACAAACAGGACGACCAAGGAGAGACTCAGGGACATGGACAACAGTAGTGGTTACCAGAGAGGAGGGGGGAGGTATACAGGGTAAAAGGGTCAAATATGTGAAAGATATCTATCTATGAGAGGTGAACACACAATGCAATGTCTATATATGCCTTACTGTTGAATTGTATGCCTGAAACTTACTGGATTTTGTTAACCAATGTCCATCATAATAAAATTTTTTTTTAAAAGTGATATTTAAAAATGGCTTTGAAGTGTAAGTAGGGACAGAAGAGGGGAAGGGAAAGACCATCCTTAGTAAACATGTGAATGAAATATAAATGTATGAAAAAAGTCACAGTGTCAGGAAAGTTCAAGGTGTATTTGAGAAACTACCATGAATAAGCTGGTGGGAGAGGGGATTGTGGAGTGGAGAGGGGAAGATGGAAGTCCCCTTGTGAAGGGTCTTAAATGCCATACTAAAGTTTGAGATTTTATCTTGGCATGGAGGATCTATCATAATAGAGAATGAAACAGATTTGAGGGAGATTTTTGTGTGATGACACCATTGTCTGTGTATCAGAAGTGAATGGAAGTAACCAGTGATGAGTCATAAGGGTTTTGGTTTGAGTGCTTAGGTAGGAAGCTGTTAACTAAGGCTGGGAATGCTGAAGTGAATCTGGTAATACTTGAGTTTGGTTTGACATGTAAAGTTAGATATTCCTATGGGACATATAAGTAGGGATAGTACATAGTTAGAAATGTAAGGTGGACTACATAGAGGAGGTTTGGATAATTATGTGGGCCATAGAAGTCAGTAATTTTATGTGGATGAGTTCAGTCAAAACTATTTATTGTATAAAGTGAGTGGGTGTGTTTGTAAATATTGGCCTGAGGATATGTTACTGAAAACAGCCTGAGATAACCAAATAATCCCTTTTGCAGTCTGCTTGCAAAAGGTATTATCTGCTGAGGTGTGATCATTGATTTTCTAAAAGTTAAAAAGAAGGTGTTAATCTCCTGGGAGATAAAAAGAAAGGGAGAGTTAGCTGTGGGTGCTGGCAGTCCACTAAATATTTGTACTTCTTTATTCTGGTCATTGGCCAGCAGCTTCCCAGAGAGAGATTGTATTTTCTAGTCACTTGTACAACTGGGTGGGGCTGTCTGACTAGATCTCCCTCAGGTAATGAAAGAAATGATATGTATGACATTGGGTCAGATTGAGTGAGATGCATTCCTTTTCCCCATCTGTCTTCTGAATGCAGAGATTCTGAGGACCTTGTGGGTGGGGAAACTGTAAGATTGAAGGCACCTGAGTTCCTGTGGTAATCCTTGCATTTGCATATCAATTTTAGGATCACATTGTCAATTTCTGCAAAAATCCAGCTGGGATTTTGAATCTAGGTCCATTTGGGGCGTATTGACATCTTAATATTAAGTCTTCTGATCCATGAACATGAATGTCATTTCCATTTATTTAGGTGTTCATTCATTTCTTTTAATAATGTTTATAGTTTCCACTATACAGGTTTTGCACTTCTTTTGTTAAATTTATTCCTAAGAATTTTATTATTTGTTAGTGCTATTGTAAATGGAATTGTTTTCTTTATTTCATTTTCAGATTGATCATTGCTGGTGTATAGTAACATAATTGATTTTTGTCTATTGATCTTGTATCCTGCATCCTTGCTGAACTTCTTTATCAATTTTAATAATATTTTTAATGGATTCCTTAAGGTTTTCTATATGTAAGATCATGTAATCTGCAAATATAGTTTTACTTCTTTCTTTCTAATCTAGTGCCTTCTATTTTCTTGCCTAATTGCCCTGGCTAGAACTTCCAGTACAGTGTTGAATAGAAGTGGTGAGAGTGAACATTTTTCTCTTGTTCCTGGTATTAGAGGGAAACATCCAGTCTTTCACCATTATGTGTGATGTTCGCTGTGCATTTTCCTTAGACCCCTTTATCAGGTTGAGGATGTTGGGTATTTTTATCATGAAAGATGTTGGATTTTCTCATATGCTTTTTCTCCATCTATTGAGATAATCATGTGGGTTTTGTTACATTTACATTTGCATGAGCTCTTCCATTCTTGATCCTGGAGTAAATCTCATGCATTACAGAAATAAAAGGTTAGTGACTGTCAGCATTTGGATAAATGAGAGAAGCCTTGGGAGTTAGTGAGATTACCCAGAGAGAGTACATAGAAAGAAAAGGTGGCCCAAGATGGAACTTTGAGGAATATAATATTCAGTTGCCATGTGCAGTGCTAAATATAGTTTAATGAAAACTTCACCTGAGATAGCAGGCAGTTCTGGTTGTGCTACACCAGGTAATTGTGCTAGATTGTCTGCAGCTGTCATGTGTCTGAAGCATCTCTGGTAACATGGGAAGTTTTTCTGCCCTTTATTTGTTTGCCTTTGTGTAAGAGTAGAACCCTTATACAAAGTATAAGTATTCAAGGTGTAGGCAAAGAAAGAGAATCAGCATGGTTTTTTTGAAATGAACATGTAAATTGTGCGTAAATGGTACAAAAATTTTAAACTTTGTGAACATTACTAGTTCCATAAATTGAGCATTTTAACACTAGAGAATTTTCCTTTTCTCTGCTAGAAGGAATGTTTGTACAAAAACAGAAAAAAAATCAATCTGCGGGAAATTTCCTTGATATAATTAGTAGTGTTTTGTAAAGAGCCTGAAACATGCACCATAGTCAACAACCATAGGTCCTCAGACTCTATTGAGTACCAGAAGTAGACATTGCTTTCTCTTTTCATTTTTGTTTTGTCCTCTGTACTGCTACTACTGTCTCTTTTAATTCCATAATCACTATTAGCTGTAGCTGTGAGAAGACCCTGATTTCAAAGCATTTAAAACTGATATGGCCACAGTAGCTTCTTGGTGAGACTATCCTTTAGATTCATACAAGAAATTTATTTATTTCAGCTTTATTGAGTATAATTGACAATTAAAAGTTGTATATATTTAAGGTATATAAGTTAATAATTTGATATACATGGTGAAGTAGTCACCAGAATCAAGCCAATTAACATATTTGTTGCCTCACGTATGTATACAATACGATATTGTTAGTCACTATATAAGATAGTTTGATTCTTAGAAATATTCTAACTAAATGTCAGCAATTAAGCCCTAAGTATATATAGCGATATGTGTTAACCTGTTCTAAATTTAAATTAGTTGATAGTCTTGGAGACTGTTGAAAAATGTTACTGAAATTTTCCAATTTAATCATAAATAATTCAAACTATTTGGTTGAACTAAAAAACGTTTTGTTATAGCGACCCAATCAAATGATATGTCAATTTGTGAGATGTTCGTTACCTGAAATTTTGTTTCTTCCTCGAACTACATTATTAGAATTTTCTGAAATCATTTATAATCTTGAGAATAATAGATTATGTGAGGCACAAAGGGTATAATGTTGACTGATAACAATTATGAATTAATACTAAAATTAATAGAAAGTGTGATGCCCCACTGTGTTGCCCTCAACTTATAAACTGCCTTAAGACATTATAGAACCTAACATATATATTTGGAGGATCAGAACCCCAGTTAAGGTTCTTAAAAGTCAAATCAGTACAGCTGTGTAATAGAGAGAGACATATTTAGATACTGCTTCAAATTATTTCTCCCGTTTAACCTTAAACATACAGAATATTTCGAAAAGTGTATTCACAACAAAAAGATTGCTGAGTTAGCCATTTCTAAGACAGATATTTCCAATTAATCCTAATCCATAGTCCTTAAAAATTTGGAGAACTAATTCACTTTCTTGCTACTTGTTAAGTAGATAAAAATGAGGGAAAAAGTAAAGGGAAAAGATGAATATTCAGGTGCTAAGGTTGGAATTATTTTGTGTATTATGAACTATATAAAATCATCAAATACTCTTAATTTGAAAATTTAATAATTAGTTTTAAAGTTGTGCAAGTCTGTTGACAGTGATGCATATTCAAATATATAGTTCATGAAACTAATAGTTATTTGTCCCATATTAGATGATGATGTTGGCAAACATGAAGTACATAGTTCTTCCCATTATCTCATATATACATTATAATGTGTAATAGCTTCTAGAAAGCATTTTATATTATTATTATTATGTATAAATTTATACATTTCTTTACTATTCTTCTTAAGGTAGTAAATGTTGACAGAAGAAATGTCCCAACCTGTAGAGAATTTTTATGAGTTTATTTGAGTCAAACTGATGACAGTGTATCTCAACAGACTGAGAAAAATGCTTCCCAGAATGATAGTTTGCAGTTTCTTTTATGCATTCGAAATTAAGGAAGATGACATGCAGGAGGAGGAAGCTAAGTGAGGATTGGAATACAGGGTAGTTAATAAGATCATATTCTCTCTTGAGGGTGGTTATGTTTCTGAGGGGTCTGAAAAAGAGGCATTTCAAAGGTGTGTTACCATACATGCACATAAACAGACAGGGCTTGCTTAAAGCAAAGACAGACCATTTATGAAAGAAGTTACATGCGTAAGGCGTGACTACCCACCGTGACCTACCCAGTTAAGAATTTACAGTCTGATCACCCTGTGAGGTTACTTTCAGTAAGTTTTATTCTAGCACGTCTTTTTCATCTACATAAAAAACTAACCATTTTTAGAAAGACTGGTGACTCATGTTTTTTAAATGTATATACATATATGGTTTTTTAATGTGAAAAATTGTTGGCTTTCTGTTCTTATGCTTGCAGGAAGCATATGTGCCTCATTTCTTACCCAGAGCTACCAACTGCCAGTTCTTGACACAATGTTTATAAGGAAAAAATATCGAGGCAAAGATTTTGGGCTTCTTATGCTGGAGGACTTTGTCGATTCCTTTACAGAAGATGCACTAGGCTTGCGGTATCCACTGTCCTCTCTCATGTACACAGGTAAACAGATTAAGTTAATTTTAAACTTATCTCAGAGTCATGATTTGTGTCTGCAGAATATTGTAAATTCGCATATATCAATATTAAATAAATTTGGATTTTTTGACACCCTAGGACTTAATTTTACAAATGCATCTTTATCATATATTTGACTTTTTTGAGGGTGTGGTAGCTTTTTAAAAAAATTGAAATATAATTTTACATGTCATGAAATTCACCCTCTTAAAGTATACAGTACAGTGGTTTTTAGTATATTCACAGCTGTGGAACCATAACCACTAATTCTGGAACATTCTCATCATCCCCAAAAGAAACTTTGCACCAGTTAGCAGTCATTCTCTATTTCCCCATTCCTCCATCCCCTAGCAACCACTGATCTATTTTCTGTCTCTTTAGATTTACCTATTCTGGGCATTTCATATAAATGGAATCAGATGATTGTATTCTAAGCCCGTTGTGTCTAGTTTCTTGCATTTTGTATAAATGTTTTCGAGATTCATCTATGTTGTAGCATGAATCAGTGCTTCATTGCTTTTTATGGCTAAATAATATTCCACTGTATGGATATGCTGCATTTTATTTATCCATCAGTTGATGGACTTGTGAGTTGTTTCTACATTTTATCTCTTATGAATAATGCTGCTATGAACATTTCTGTAGTTTTCTTTTTGGACGTTTCTCTTGTGTATGTACCTAGATATGTTGGGTCATATAGTGACTCTATGTTTAACCTTTTGAGGAACTGCCTAGGTGTTTTCCAAAGCAACTGCTCCATTTTACATTCTCATAAATAATGTGTGAGGGTTACAATTCTCCACATCCTTGCCAACACTTGTTATTATCTACCTTTTTTTATTATAGTCATCCTAGTGTGTGTGAAGTGGCATCTCTACTTTTGATTTGCAGTTGATGAACATCTTTTCATGTGTTTATTGTCCATTTGTATGTTGACTTTGCATAAATGTCTATTTAGATCATGTGACCATTTTTTTCTTTGGGTTATTTGTGGTAGCTTTTTAAATTAAAAAAAATTGAGATATACAAAAAGGTATAAAAAATAAATACTCATGTACCACCAGCATTTACCATCCATGAGAAATGGATCATTGCCAACACAGTTGTACTTCTACTCAATTTGCTTACTTTCTTCTCTGATATAAGTACTGTCCTCAGTTTGGCATTTATTTTCTTCATGCATTTCTTAGGCTTTTAATACATATGTGTATATTCTCCAACAATATGTCATATTGTTTTAAATATTTTAAAACTATATAAATGATAGGCACTGTATAAATTCTGCAGTTTGCTTTCTTATGTTTACGAGATTCATTAATGTGGATCTATATATAGCTTTATTTTTCATTTTCAATGCTGTTAAATATTACATTGTATGGCTATACCATGTAATGTTTTAAAAACTATTAGTGGATTTATATTTGCATATATGTAAAGTTCATACAACTGCTTTTTAATGAAGTAAGATTTAATCCTGGAAAGTAATTTATTTGAAAACCTTTATAAATTTTAATTTATCACTGATTTTAATCTAACATCAAATGTTTATTTCCACTGAAAAATATTTTGCTCTATTTCCTTTCTCTTTTTAATACTGAAAATCTGGAAAATAAGAACCAAGTGTTTTATGCCCATCTTGAATCATAGTTTCTCTCAAGACCCATGTATGAGAATGGAATGAACCCTGTATACCCTTGGATAATCTGAAAATAGATTTCCCCCTTAAAGTCTTAATTATTGCTTTACTAAATTGGGAGAGGAATGCAAACACATCCACTGCAGGAAGAATCTCTTTATATTTACTCTTTTCTAGGATTCTAATGATAGATTGAAAAGCAAATGAATTGCAGATGCATGTCAGCTAATCTCTGTCTTTGCATAGTCTTGAACTCTTTACTTTTAGTTTAGACAAGAGATTCCCTGACAGCGATTTATTGATGTCATTTGTATAATTTTGTGAATAAGACTCTTTGAAATGTGAAAATAAAGGAATATATTGAGAATAGAAATTTTTAGACTATGTGGCTTCTCTATCATTTTCTGTTTCTTTCTCTTCCTGCCTCTCCTGTACAGTGGTTATTATAGTTGAAGGACTTGGATTTTCATTAGATTTTTCTCTTTTAAGTTAGTTAATAGTTCTTTGATATTGCTATAAGTCTAATAGCTCTTGGATGCTCTTCACTTGTTTTCATGAATATTTTTTAACATTTTAGGAAAGAGTATAGTGTTTTAAATTTCAGGCTTTAAAAAAAATAGAGATAATTTGTTCATTCCACAATGAACAAATGAGTGCCAAATATTATTGGGCTTGGTCTCAGACTAGAGTAGACAATAAGTTAACTATGAGAAATTGATTTACATAATGCTATAACATGTATAGCTAGAGACATGGAATACATAACATTTTTTGTGAATCTTTTATCTATTTGGAGTTTATCTTGATATATACTATATGAGGCACATATGCAAATATGTTTTACTGGACAGGTATCTGATTGCCGCAGTATCATTTATTGAATAATTTATCTTTTTGGTACTGATTGGCATTTGTATCTATACCAGGGGTCAGAAAACAATGGCTCACTGGCCTGTTGACTCTTTTGGTAAACAAAAGACTGCTATATACTTTTCTTTTTTCAAGTTGCCTTGGTGTTTTTGGTATCAAAGTTATGTAAGCCTATTAAGTGAGTTGGGCAGCTTTCCATCTTTTCTTCTTTTCTAAAATAATTGATATTTGGGATTTCTAGAAAATTCTAAATGTATTTTTCAGCTTGCAAGCAATACTTTGAAAAGTATCCAGGAGACCATGAACTCCTTTGGGAAGTTGAAGGTGTTGGACACTGGTGTCAGCGAGTACCAGTCACCAGAGCATTACAGAGAGAAACACTTAAAATTACAGGTACGACTGTTTTCAGTTTGAACACATGTCCAGCTTAAAAATAGCCGTACCTGATGATGGTTGTGCTTTACAGAGTAGTGGTGTACTGTAATGTAATGTGATTTCTCTAGTAACCACTCTATTTTCTGAAGCTTGATTCTTTGTTATATGTTAATATATGAGTCACAAAGAATAGCCCAGCAGAATATAATAGTCCAGTAGGAATTGTTGGGTAAAAAAATAAACACAGATTACTGAGACAGCATAGAATAGGCATCAGGGGATCAAAGGTAGTCCCCAGTCTCATGCATTTCATTCATCTCTCTTCAAAGTCACAAAATACAGATAACCATTTAAAGAGACTCTATAATTGCAAGGTTTCATTATAGTATATTGGTGAAAGGGATATCCTACACCTAGTTAGATTTTTAGTATCCTTCTGTACAGGCTGCTATTCAAGGCTTTTGTGAAAATCAGAACAAACAATGTTACAATTAAAACCAAAATGATTGGGTTACAATTCTTAAAATTTTTCTACACAACAGTTTCTCCAAATGAACCTAGAAGATCTTTGTCTGGAGAATATGGTCTTGCATCTGTTCCAAGTTATGAAGCAGGAACTGAAGACAATCAATCTAGTGAGATACAGCTAACTGTAGGTACACTGTATGTTTATTGTAGGAAATAATTTTTCTGTTTTTTAAAATGGATTAGGTTAATTTTTTAAATGTTATAGTTTATTCAACAAAGTTATGTAATTTCTACTATATTAGTTTTCTTGACATCTTCTGTTAATTGGTTACTAAGGAATTATTTTTCTTTGAAAAATAATTTGGAATACACATAAAATAATATATAAGAAAATAAAAATCTGTAATCCCACTATTCCAGGTATAGCAACTGTTTACTGTATATGTACTTAATCTATATTATAAAACATATATCTTCATATGTTTTGTTTTTATTCTTATATGCTGCTTCTAATTGCTTTTCTCCATTAATGTAATATTTAAAAATTTTTCCATGGCATTACTGTTTTAAAACATACTTGTTAAATAGCAGCACACTATTTTATGTAGATACCATCATTCATTTCTTTAACATATTGTACTTAAGTTTTTTACATTTATAAGTGGTCCAGCAATGAACACATTTATAGATGCATCTTCGTGTATATGTAATTATTTCCTTGCACAGATAAATTTCTAGAAGTGGAATTAGTAGTAGACCAAAGGTTATGAAGTTACTGTGGAAAGTTTGAGGCTACATTTCAATAAATGTGTGCTAGGTCTTTGTAGAATGAAATGCACTTTGCAAATACTAGGTAACCTGAAAATAGAAGGAAAGGCCCTATTACTGAACCCCAGAGGACTTATTAGGTACTTTTTTATAACTTACTTGATCCTAATTAAAATATGGGTTCGTCGATAGTATTCTAGAAGTCTATTTATGCAGTGTTTTGTTGTAATGGCACTTATTACAGTCACATTTGTTTTGTACATGGGTCTCTGTGTATATGTTTAGTGAGCATTGAATATGTCTTATGTAAATGCATGTGCGTTTCAGAGACAAGTGCTTTGGGGAATTAATTGTGCCTCTTATTTCCTGTCTTAATTAGCATGAGTGTTTACTATACGAGTAAATGTTTAAATGTTTTTAAGGATAATACAAATAATATAATAACTATATATAAGGAATTAAGAGTTTTTGTTTTGATTTTTTCTACATTTAGAACTTCATACTTCAGAATAAGTCCCAATTCTATTATGCTACAGTTCCAATTCCTTAAATATACTCAGATTCATTTAGCGTTGGTCAGGTATCATAAAAGCAGGGAAAGTAGAAAGTCTGCTCTTCCCATACATGTGACAGCAATGATTTACTTTAATATTAAGCCAAGTAGTTTTAAATGTGTCATTTTAGTGAGAATATATTAAAATTGCACCATTTCATAGATTGGCAGCATAAATTAGATTTTATTTCATTTTAGAAATTGATATTCTTCATATTACTTTAATATTTTAAAAGTTCAAGGCTTCTCGAACACAGGATATTTATCTTATCATCCATCACAGTTGCTCCTTTGTTTGTGTCCTGTAAACAGACCTTGAAGTATATTTGCCCACCATATTGTAGAGTTTTGATAAGTGTGTCACTGGATAGCAGTTCATATAATCAAGTAGGTACTGTGGCAAGTGCTGGGCATACAGATTATGGATCTGTTAGGCATGGAAGCAGTAGATGGTCCATTATTGGAAACAGATGAGTAAACAAATATTCTACAGAATAATATTGCTGTAATAGAGCATAGAGTAAGTGATTACAGGTACTTAAAAAAGTGTAACTAACTCTACCCAAGGATTGGAATTGGTGAAGTAGTAGCTAAGCTGAGCTGATTTTTAAAGGGGTGCATATCCTTTGCAATGCCCAAGTATTGCTAGGGCATCCCAAAAGATAGCATGTATAAAAACACGGAGGTATGAAAGAAAATGGCATGTTTGATATGTAAGAGTATTTCAGATTGAAGGGTTTGAGAGTTTAATTTTAGGCAGTGATAAATCTTTAATTTTTTAAAGTACTGACACAGTTTGCAATTTGGAAGCATCAGCGTCATCAGGGTGGAGAGGATTATGGAGTATGTGATTAGAATACGAGATACCAGTGAGGAGGCTATTAGAACAGTTCATATTAAAGATGATAAAGGCTTGAACTAAAGCATTGGTAATACACAGGAGGGGGCAGTTTTGAGAGATTCTTCAAAGTCGAAATGACAGGCTTTGTAGTTGATTGAGTGAGGTTATGGGGTAAGTCATTACTGCCTCACAGGTTTCTAGTTAGAATGACTGTCTGAATTATTACCATTAATCACTATAGGGAATAATATTTGGAAAATATAAGAGTTTAGTTTGGGATAGGTTGGATGTGAAATTGGATGGAGCATTCACACTGGGGAGATATTTCGTTGGAAATAGAGCTTTGGAAATCAGGAAAGAAGTTGGAGAGATTAAATTGTATATTTGGATTCATCACCAGGATGTTGAAGTGAAGATAGTAGATAAAATTACACAGTTCAAGCATGTGGACTGAAAAGAGAAGTTAGCTGGGACAGATTCCTAAGAAACTACACTTTTTACCACTATAACATTTTAGATGGCTTTATACATTCTTGGGCTCATAATAAACTGAGGCTGTAATATAGCCTATTTATTCTTAGGTAAGTTTTCTTAATTGATGGATTGTGAGTACAAAAAGTGCTGTTTGAGAAACATTTTAAAAGATTTTCTTTGACACTGAATGAAGCAGATTCATAGGGAGAGAAAAATGATCTGAAACTTGATTTTAATCTGTATCTCTTTCTTTTAGATCGATTCTTTAAAAGATGCCTTTGCAAGCACTTCTGAAGGTAAGAATTCAGCTGATCTATCCGTAAGTGTTTGAGACACTTAGAGTTAGGGGTGTGTGTGTTTGTGTGTTTGTGTTTCTTAGAGTAAGTGAAGACTTGTACAGCTCTAATTGGTGTAGTGGTGGCATGAGAACCTAAATCTAAAGTCTAGATTTAGGTTCTCATGCCACCACTACACCAATTTTGCTGTGTGAACACGTTAGTCATTGTACCTCATTTTTTCTCATTTTCTTACCTGTAAAATAGATACAGTAACATCTACCTTGTTTATTTCCCAAGATTATTGGGAGAGAGTATAAGTGAACTTTGCAAAGCTCAAGGGAACAATATTGAATATTGACCAAGTTATTTTGTAACTTTAGCAAAAGACATTGATGTTTCTAAGTCTGATGTGAGAAAAAAAAGTGCATAATCGCGGGGATATATGTAAACTAGCATAGTTCTTGCATTTCTGTATATCATAATAGGTAATCCTTTGAGTACATAATCAATTAATTGTAGTTTTGCTCTTTTTTCTCAGGTCATGATAAAACACCCGTTTCCACTCGTACTCGAAGTAGTCATCTGAAGCGGCCAAAGATCGGAAAGCAGTTTCAAGATTCTGAATTTAGTAGTTCTCAAAGGGAAGATGAAAAGACTCCCCAGACTTCACCTACAGCTTCAGGAAACAAGTAGTGTTTATTTTACTTTCATTATTTTGTTTATTCTTATTCTCATAAGAATACTAAATACTGTTTAAGATGGGGGCCATCTGTGTAGCAAATGGCTTTGGTATAGGAGTTCGTATTTGAATTCTCCTACAAGATTGTTGATTACACTTACCAGTGATAAGTGTCACGTTGACAGTGTTATAGGAGAAGCTGCTGGTAACAGAGTGGAATAAACTCATGATTTAATCTCAATTGTGAAAATCTATGAGAATATTCTATTGATTATATAATCCCAAATGAGTCATTATCACTAACTTCGAATTTAACAGTGGCTGTAGTTTTAGTAATGCTGAGGTATAGTCAATTTAAAAACCCTCAGTTTTACTTTATATTATTGATTCATTTTACTGGGTTATTGAATATAACATAAATTAGTGATAACCATAAATGATGCAGACAACTCCTCCAGGATCTTAATCAGCAGAACACTTGGGTCAAAACTTTATACTCTGTCTTCCTTTTAATCTTAAAGAAAGCAAGATTTTATATTTCATAGTAAAGTTAACTTTTGCTCTAATAGTCCTAACAGCTGTTCCTGAGTCAACCTTTTATAGCTTTGCTATTTTAGCTGTGAAATTATTTTACTAAGGTAGAGAATTCTGTAGCTATGCCAATTTCTTATGTAAATAATTTTGCATTTGAGTAAGTATGTAAATGTTTTATTATGGTGAAAAATTAATCATGTTAAAGGCAAACATAAGTAAATATTTAAATCTAGTAATTTGTGTAAAGTTGATATACAATATTATATTAGTTTCAGGTAGAACATAGTGATTAGACACTTATATAACTTACAAAGTGATCTTGCTGATAAATCTAGTACCCAGTTGACACCATATACAGTTATTACAATATTATTGATATATTTCTTATGCTATGTTTTAGATCTCCATGACTATTTCGTAACTACTAATTTGTACTTCTTATTTCCTTCTTCTTTTTCACCAACCCCCTAAACCTCCTCCCGTCTGGCAACCATCAAAATGTTTTCTCTATATCTATGAATTTGTGTTTGTTTGTTTTTTTTTTTTTTAGTTTCTGTTTTGTTTGTTGGTTTATTTTGTTCTTTAGATTCTACATGTAAGTGAAATAATACAGCATTTGTCTTTCTCTTTCTGATTCACTCCATAATACCTTCTAGGTTCATCCACATTGTTGCAGATGGCACGATTTTATTTATTTTTTTTATGGTTCAGTAATATTCCATTATATATGTATACCAGCTCTTCTTTATACATTCATCCATTGATGGACCTCCAGGTTGCCTCCATATCTTGACTATTGTAAATAATGCTGCAGTGAACATGTGGATGGATTCACATGATCCTTCGAAGTAGTGTTTTGAATTTCCTCAGATAAATACTCAGAATTAGGATTATTGGGTCCTTCTTTGTCTCCTGTTATAGCTTTTGTTTTAAAATCTGTTTTGTCTGGTATTAGTATTGCTTCCTCAGCTTTTTAAATTTTTCTCATTTTCATTTTCATGAAATATGTTTTTCTATCCTTTTACTTTCAGTCTGTGTGTGTTTTTGATCTGCAGTGAGTCTCTCATAGACAGCATGTAAGGGCCTTGTTTTCTTATCCATTCTGCCACCCTATTCTTTGATTGGAGCATTTAATCCATTTACATTTAAAGTGTTGCTAGATATGTAGTTTTTGACATTTTATTATTCATATTTTTGATTTCTTTTTCCTTCTTAAAGAAGTCCCTCTATCATTTCTTGTAATACTGGTATTGATGAACTCCTTTAGCTTTTTAAAGCTTGTTTAGGAAGCTCTTTGTCCTTCAATTCTAAATGATAGCTTTCTGGGTAATCTTGGTTGTAGATCATTGCTTTTTATCTCTTTGACTATTTCATACCAATCCCTTTTGGCCTGCAAAGTTTCTGTTGATAAATCAGCGGACTGTCTTATGGGACCTCCATTGTAGGTAACTAACTGCTTTTCTTTTGCTGCTTTTCAGAGTTTCTCTTTATCTTTAGCTTTTGGCATTTTAATTATGATGTATCTTGGTATGGCCTCTTTAGGTTAATCTTGTTTGGAACTCTCTGTGCTTCTTGGGCTTATATGTCTATTTCTTTCACCAGGTTAGGGAAGTTTTCCGTCATTATTTCTTCAAACAGGTTTTCAACTTCTTGCTCTCTCCTTCTCCTTCTGGTGCCCCTAAGATGTTAGTACACTTAATGTTGTCCCAGAAAGAGGCCCCTTAAACTATCCTCATTTTTTAAATTCTTTTTTCTTTTTGCTCTTCTGATTGGGTGTTTTCTGCTACTTTGTCTTTCAAATTGCTGATTCGATCCTCTGCTTCGTGTAATCTATTATTGATTCCCTCTTAATGTATTCTTCATTTCAGTTATTATATTCTTTTCCGACTGGTTCTTTTTTATGTTTTTTACCTTCACTTCCATGTTTTCTACCTTCATTTCCATGTTTTCTGGCTTTGTCAAAATTCTCATTGAGTTCATCTATTCTTTCTTTAAGTTCATTGAGCCTCCTTATAACTAGTGTTTTGAACTCTGCATCTGGTAGATTGCTTTTCTCCATTTTGTTTAGCACTTTTTCTGGAGCTTTGTTCTTTTCTTTGATTTGGGGCATGTTTATCTTCCCATTTGGGCTGCCTTCTTGTCTTTGTTTCTGTGTATTAGATAGGGATGCCATGTTTCCCAGTCTTAGTAGCATGGCCTTACGTAGTAGGTGTCCTGTGGGACCAGTGGCACAGTCTCCCTGGTCATCTGAGCCGGGTGCTCCAGGTGTGTCCCTTGTGTGGTTTGTCTGTGCCTTCCTGTTGTAGTTGAGCTGTGCTTGCTTTTTGCATGTCAGTGGTGGGGATTGACCCATGGGCTGATTGATTGTGAGGACTGGCTGTGTGAGGACTACGGTCGAGGAGTTGTTGTGCAGGGGCTGACCTTACAGAGCAAGATTTGCTTTAGCAGGGCTGCAGGTCCTGCCCAATCTGCTCTCTGCCTGGGACTCTGGCAGCCCTCAGTCTCACTCAGCCATAATCTCTGCTGGTTTTCACAACCAGAGGTTGTGGGGATTTCTTTTCCCAGCACTAGAACCCTGGCCTTGTATAAGCCTGGGACCACTTGCTCCTCCAGGGGGACCTCCGCAGCCGAGATATTCCTCCCGATTTTTAAGCACCACATGAATGTGTGGGAACAGCTTGTTCTGCGTCTTCAGACTTCCTACCAGTCTCGATGTGTCTTCTTCTCTATGCCCTTAGTTGTAGGACTTTTGTTCAGCTAGTCTTAAGATGATTCTCAATGATGGTTCTGTAATTTAGTTATAATTTTGATGTGGCCGTGAGAGGAGGCCAGCATAATGTTTACCCACTTTACTATCTTGACCAGAAAATTAACAGTGAATTTTAAATTGAACATCTCAGAATTATGTAGAATTGTGTTTGCTTTTCATAAACAGAACAGGAACAGTAAAACAAAATGCTCAAATACTCACTCAGACATCATGAAAAACAGAGCTTCATCTTTGCCCTTGAAGAAAGCATAGTGGTTTCTAATACACAGCTGTCTGTGACACAGGACACTGCAAGGTAGATTGTGATGGTGCAGTAGCAGAAGTACAAAATACTGTGGATGCGGAGGAACACGTGATTGATTCTAATAGAGGAGATGGAGAGATTTGCCATTTAGGCTAAGGCTTCAAAGATAAGTAGAAACCTAACAAGCAGAGTTGGGAGAGAATTTCTAGTGTAGAAGTCCACAAATTATGGTTGATCCATGGGCCAAATCTGGCCCACCAGCTGTTGTTGTAAATAGTTTTATTGAAACACATCCATGCTCATTAGTTTCCATGTTTATTATGATTGCTTTTTCATTACATTGGCAGAATTGAGTAGTTGTTCAGAGGTCAGATGGACCATAAAACCTAAAGGAAAGGTTTAGCGTCATCTGATCTACACCTGGGCTGTCCAAAGAACTTTCTATGATGAAGGAAATGTTTTGTGTCTGCCCTGCCAAGTATGGCAGCCACTACCCAGTGTGCCCATTGAGCACTTGAGGTATGGCTAATGCAACTGAGTAACTGGATTTTTAATATCATTTAATTTTATTGTAAATGATGACATGTGTCCTGTGGCTTCTGTATTATACCATGCAGATCTAGACTACAGGAATAATACAGACAAAGGCACCAAGTTAGGAGGAATGTAATAAGGATAACTGATAGTAGGGTAAATGGTAGCATTTAATAGCATATAGGGGTCTGGACATATTAGGCTTTGAAAGGAGGTATACTTTATTCTCTAAGCCATACAGAGCCATCAGAATTTTCTGAGCTGTGCTGTCACAGGCACAGTTATGTATATTAGAAACAGTGCCCTAAAAACCTTACTAAAGAACATGTGTCCTGCAAGTCTGAAGGTGAGTTGGGAAGAAGTTACAGTGAGATTTCTCCAGAGAGACTAGGGGCCTGAAAAATGGGACTAGGAAGTTAGGGATATGTTTGAAGGCATTTTAGAGGTAAAACTAAACCATATCACTTATGGTCCAGCTAATGATTTTCAGAATGAAAGGGGCATTATTAACATGCCAGTGCTGGGATGAAAGCTGGAAATTGGACTGTCCTGGGTAAACTGGGATGTATGTTCATTCTAATAGAATAAGGTCCAATCAGAAATGGATAGAGTAAAAGAAAGGTCTAGTTTACATGATTGAAAAGATGGTGATATTATTAATCGAACTTTAGAACAAGGTAGTTAAGAGAACAAATTTGCAAGATGATGAACAAATTTGTAAAAAGGTTTAGACCTGTAAAATTTGAAGTTGACTAAACAACACTTAGCTGATTCTCTATAAGTGAATATTTTACTAACAGATTCCTGAAATTTTCTATTCATCCTTAAAAAAAAAAGTAAGAATGGTTTTCTTTTTTTTTCTAGATTGGAGTCTACTGCACATACATCAGAGAGCTCAGAAGAATTCCTGGAAGAAGAACATGAACAGAGTGTGATTGAATTTGAGGATGGAAGTAGTGATAAAGATGCTCGTTCGGCACCAGAAACCCAGCCACACCTGGAGAAGCAAGATGGTGAGAAGGTATGAGATCACTTACTAAATATAATGAATGGAAGTAAACTAAAATTTAACTTTCTCAGTCATATATTGTTAAATATGATATACTTTAGAGTCTTAGTAGAAATTGTGTTTAAATGTTAAAAATCATATATTAATTAAGCGAGGTCAGGTACTGGAGTTGGGGAGAGGATAAAGTTACAAGTATCATTTTATATTTCATACTGATTTTATAAAAGTTTGACCCACAGCAGAGATAAAATAGAGGATGTTTAGGTAGTAAGGTACCTCAGTACATTTAAAACAAATTAATTTTTGGAATTAAACTTACTTAAGAAGTGATACAAATGATGTCTACCTTATGGAACCAGTTAGAATGCTTTAAGGTTCAATAGGCCCTCAGCTGCACTTCTAGTTTGGTTAGGAGGATAGGAACGAGTTATCTAGGTTCAATAGGCCCTCAGCTGCACTTCTAGTTTGGTTAGGAGGATAGGAACGAGTTATCTATACACACACACACACACACACACACATATACATATATATATGTATATATCACTACAGTTGATTACAAATCCTGGAAAAAGTAACTAAATTATTTTTTAAATGACAGTTTATTTTGTTTTTTTCATACTATATATACATAATTTTTTTTTAACATTTTATTTTTTTATTTTCCCCCTCCCCCCTCCCTTCTGGTAACCACTAGTCCATTGTCCATGTCCATGAGTCTCTGTCCTGTTCATTTGTTGCTTTTAGGTTTATATCCCACATATGTGATATCATGTGATTTTCAACCTTTTCTGTATGGCTTATTTCACTTAGTATGATTATTTCAAGGTCCATCCATGTTGCTGCAAATAGCAGTATTTCATCTCTTCTTACGGCTCAGTAATATTCCATTGTATATATGTATCACAGCTTCTTTAGCCAGTCATCTATTTTAGGACACTTCTAAAACATTTTTTTTAACTAAAAAACAAATAGGAAATTCCTTTGTGACTAAGTAAACTCTATCTGGCTTAATATCTGCAGCTCCTCAAGTATTTGTCTTTATCTCTTTTTTTTCTTCTCTTATTTTTCTGTTCTTCTCTTCTTTTTCTTTAATATCTTTAATTTTTTTCTCTCTCCAGATTCCTTATTTCTTTCATATGTGCTTGAAACTACATTGCCAATTTTATTTTCTTATACCACTTTATCTTTCTCTACTTGAAAATGTATTTTTATTTATTTTATTTTAAAATTTTTAGGTGAGGTAACCTTTGGTTGACCTTACAGATTGCAAGGACCTTGTCAGCTTACAATCCCTTATTTATTTTTCACGCCTACAGCACCTGGTCTTCCTAGGTGGTCTCCTATCCAAGTACTAACCAGGCTCGACCCTGCTTAGCTTCCGCGATCAGACAGGATTGTGAAACTGTATTTTTAAATGGCAGTTTTTTATTGTAGACATTTGGGAAAGTAAAGCACATATTTAATAAAGAGATTTATGTGCACCTAGATGTTTATAGGGATATATAATTGTTTTTTTCTGTTTTAAAAACTTAATATTATACTGTATATACTCCATATAACCAGTTTTCATTTGTCCAGCAGTACCTCAAGCACATACTATTGTTAAGTCACCAGTGATACTTTGATTCCCAGTGGATTTCCTTACCTAGATTAACTACTCTCTGTTCCTCAAGATGCTCTAGTCTCTTGACTTTATAATACTACCGTATTTTAATTTCTTGGTTTTCTACTCTCTTATGTTCTGTTTTGGTTTTATTTTTTGACTCTTCTGGTTTTTGCATTTTTCCCTTTATTTGTGTACATTCTAGAAGACTCAGTTCTTGACTTTCTGCTCTTTGGTTCACGTTTTCTTTTTTTAAAATTATATTTTATTTTTATTTTTTTAATTAATTTAATTATTTTTATTATGGTGACATTGGTTAATGAAATCCAGTAAGTTTCAGGTGTATAACTGAACAGTGAAGCATATATATATTGCTTGTATGTTCACCACCCATATTTAAATTTATTGTCACCACATATTTGACCCCTTTTACCCCATCCACCCCCATTTGACCCCTTTTACCCCATTGACCTCCCCCTTCTTCACTCACCCCCATACGCGCTCTCTTTTGAAAACTCATCCAGTCTAAAGGCTCAACAGTCATCTTTATGGGGATGACTAATAACTCTAGACTTTGAATATTGATCCAATTTTAGTTCTATAATGTTATTTTTCTTCTGAATATTTCTGTTTAGATGTCTTTTATCATCTTAAATTCAACGTAATTTCTATTCTTTATCACTTCTGTATTGAGTCTTTTTTCCTGTTTTATCTTTCATTCTGTTCCCCAAACGAAAACTTGCAGGAGTGAGTTTTTCTCTTCTGTTGCCTCTCACTTTTAGTTACCAAAATTCTATTTTTTTGAGCTTTTGCTATATCTTTCTGATTTCCTTCGCTTTAACATTTCTCCTTAGTTAATCCTTTTATGAGTTTTATTATAATTACCTTCTGTGTGCAATCTATTCTGTATACTGTCTTGCCAGATTAATTTTTCTAACTCCCTGATTTCAGTTTCCCTGTGGAAAATTTTTCTTATATAATTTTAGGGGTTCTGTACATCCAGCCAAATCTATTTTTGAACACTCGAGTGCATCAGTTTTCTAATTTTTAAAATGGTAATAAAATGCCCTCTAATTATTAGAATGTCACTAGAATTAATTATAAACATTAGACATTGAAGTCTTGTAAATTGATAAACATCGGAAAAAAGAGTTTCAGAAATTGGAGGGTTTGTGTTACCAGATCGCTCTTCCATGTTTTAATAGTGATACAAAAAGCAGGGTTGTTCAAAAATAACCCTTGGATGACTAGACAATGAGCTGAGTTTGAGGGTTCTTCTCCTAGCAAGAAGCTGTACCCAAACTCAGCTTCCCGCAGGACTGGTAGTGTTTCTTCCCCCTGGCAGAGTAAACTGTAACTTCCCACAGGCCCCAAAGATTCCGAATGCTGAATCACTGGTGTTCTGTAAAGAGGTGGCACCAAATCTAGACTCTCTTGGGTGCCTTTTTACTGAAAAGGTTTCACCCGTGATTACCCCAGAAGGAAGAGCAAGAAGTGGGCAGGGTCTTGTTATTGAATCTCAGACCCTTACTGTGTCCACAGCGCATCCTGGTCCTGTCCTCTTTCCATGAGAACAGGGAATTTGGGGGTATTTGTGGATTCTTTTACTAGTTCTGCCTCGTAAGTTTCCTCTTTTCCTCAGTAAGACTATTCCTTAACCCATTGCCATATTATGTAGTAGAATTTATCTTGAGTCCTGGTGCATGACAGGGACTGAGAATGGATCCACTTTGCATGACAAATAAGTTAGTCTGTAATTGTGTCCTGACATTTTTTTCCCCCTGTTGGTTTAGGAATCTGAATTAGAGCCTATGAATGGTGAGATAATGGATGATGCTCTTAAGACCCCACTTATAACTGAAGAGGAGGACTCCACTTGTGAAGTTTTAGATGAAGAATTAAAATTGCAGTCTTTTAATTCCAGTGAAGACTCTACGAATCTTGTTCCACTGGTGGTAGAATCTTCAAAACCGCCTGAGGCTGTTGCACTGGATAAGGTAAAGGGGAAAGAACCTATTTTTTTTAATAGATAAAGTGTTCCAGTGTTGGTGACATGGCAGGGGCAGTGTAATATATATATTTTCCTCCACCTTATCATGTATAGTCCTTTAGGAAAATTAAGTTTTATACTAGATTTGATATCGTAAGATGAAGCAAACAGTAATATTCCATAAATCTTTGTAACCTTATTCATTCTTCTCTGATTTATGATAACAAAGTGAGTTTTACTTTGTAGGTTTAGGAAAATACTTAGAAAAATGAATAAAACATTATTTACCAAATATTCAAATACCTATTAGTGCTTAACATTTTAATTTAATTATACAGATTAGTGAGAAAACTTGAATGAGTATTTGAAAAAAAATTTAATTTTTTTGATTCTTTCAATGTAAAGCTAAAAAGCTATTGGATAGCATTATTTCCTTAGTGTCTCACATATATAAATGAATAAAATGACCATTGCCCTCACCTATCATCTAATACAGCCATTGTTAAAGTAAGCAGGGGTGGTGGTGTCAAGTCCCAAAAGACTCTTGGTTATGGCTCCAGTAACTGCAAGAAAGTAAAAACTTTATCATTCATTTACGGTTTTTGAAGAATCTGAAGTTTAAAATATCTTTAAAAAGCACTTTTTGAGGTAAAATTATTACTTTTATTATATCTTTAAAGCAAGAACTTAATGTATCCAGATTATCACTTAAGGCAATTTTGAAAAAATTGAGTTGTATTCAGAAGAGGTACATGATTAACGAAAGTAATGAATACTGAATTCTTTAAAATGCAGTTGTCATTGCGTATTAGTATGAGAATAATTTATATAAGAACTATATGGCAAAAGTTTGTTCACCAGGTTTTTTCCTTTTAGACCTCACATATAACTGACTCAGAAATGTTGCTAGAGGAAGGCCCATCTGATGAAAAGGGGCACACTGAAGAGAAACTGCCATTAGTTTCAAGAAAGAAGGCACATTTTGGGAGTTCAGACAGTGTTGCTACCATTCCAAATGAAGAACGATCTGACAGTGGTTTTCCAAACTCTGTGATAGCTGAATTTTCTGAAGAATCAATCTCTGAAAATTTGTCACCCAACACTACTTCCTCATTGGAAGACCAGGGCGAGGAGGGGGTACCCGAGCCCCAGGAAACATCTACAGCTCTTCCTCAGAGTTCTTTGATAGAGGTTGAACTTGAAGATGTGCCATTTTCACAAAATGCAGGACAGAAGAACCAGTCTGAGGAGCAATCTGAAGCATCTTCTGAGCAATTGGATCAGTTTACACAATCAACAGAAAAAACTGTGGATAGCAGCTCCGAGGAAATAGAAGTGGAAGTGCCTGTTGTAGACAGGCGGAATTTAAGAAGAAAGGCCAAAGGGCATAAAGGACCTGCTAAGAAGAAAGCCAAGCTGACCTGAATGAAGAAACACAGATGATAAATCCTCTTCTTTGTAACATAATTGTTGTTTTTAAAATATGGTAATAAATAGCATGGGGCACAGGACAAGAATTCCAAAATTTGAATTTGAGCTTATTTATGATGCAGTTTTTCCCTCTCCCTTAGGATCTCTAGGATTCATTGTTTTTAATTTTTCAGGCTATTTTGTGTAAATACAGCTTTTTACTTTTATTAATCATGTTTCAATTTTGGGAAACCAGATCATACTATATTTTCTTTAGCAGTTGGGGACATTTGACCATTAATATTTCAGGAAATGTAAGAAGCCGAAAGTAGTAGGCTTTCCATTACTTGTAAGGAACACAGGAATCTTTTATACTAAGGGTTTTAATAGTAAACTTGGTGAGGGTTCTAGAAGTTTTAGCTTAAATATTTAATCACCATTTTTTAAAATGTAGGCATGCCTAAACAAAAATGTCAGTAAATTAGAATAAATATAACTTCAACTACAGGAGAGCACAGATACAGAAATTTATGGTCAAAGGTTTATGAGGGTGGTATTTTGGCCTCTTAATTCATAGCTGTATAGATGCATTTCTTCCTTTGACTTCAATGCCTGTGGAAAGGCAGAAACTGTTTCTAACTCACTCTTTGTAACACCTGTTATAAACATTACTGCTAGGGATTTAATTGTGGCGTGTAGGTACTAATGTAATTACTTAAAATTTCATTTGAAGCTGGGGGCTATACTTTTGTCCTCACCTAGTTAACATGTATACTTCAGAAGTATGAGAACCCTTCCTAAGAGTGTTCATTAATCCTGACACTGCCCTTTTTCTAGAATCTTATTTTTATTCCCCTCAGCTTTCATCCACTTCCGTAAATTGTGGAGTGATTCCTGTCAAAAGATCTTCCTGCCTGCCTGCCAACCAGCTTATGCCCTTGCCATCCATTTTTTGGGTAGGTATGAAACTGTGCTCCACAATCTTAGACGTAGATGGCAGAAATAAAACTGCCCTAGGAGCTGTAGTTTACAAGAGCTTAAATCATTATTGGAGGCTCTAGTTGTCCCTTTCTTTGGTCTTGCACATTCTTGGGTTTGTTCTGTGAGGACAGGTTACAAGCCAGCCTGTCTATGTATGTTCATTGTGTTGCCATAGCAAAAAAGTCTTTGCCTAGGAAAAGCTTCAGTTGTTAATTTTTGTAATTTATTTAGAGACGAACAAAATGGTTATTCTTAGAATCCAAAGAGAATCTTGAAACAATCCTCCTCTTTGAAAGTATTGCGTATACTCAGATTTGCACTTAGAGAATGCTTTGAGACCATTTAGATTGTTTTTAAAACAAGCTTGGTCTTTACATAAAATGTGTTATGACTCTGTGTCCTTGAGGTACTAAGGATTGATGTTAAAAGTTTTTCAGTAGTCAGGTGATGTCATTAAATTTCATTTTGGGATGTTAGTATTTTAGGAAGCTGTAAGTTGAGTTAAAATCTTTAAGCAGGCAAAATAGCAAACCTTCCTATTCATGTAAAATTTTTGAGTACTTGTATCCTCAAATTTTCTTTAGTTGTTGGTCAGAGGTAAGCCAGATTATTTCATGCTAAATGAAAATTAAAGCACTTTGGTCATTTGTTTTCTCAGAAAATACTAAATAAGTGAAAGAAAAAGTATGAGTAATAGCTAGTATCTATCAAACGTTTATGCTGTTTTATACATTTTGGGAGAAACTTTTGTTAATACCACAAATAGGGAAATAAAGATTTAGTAAATTCTTAACCTTTCCATTTTTAATTTCTTAAAATAGGTAAAAATCTAACACTTATTTTACTTTTTTACTTGGATTGTTTATCGTTCTCTTTAAAATACTTTAAAATGGTGTAGTTTAATAAGATTGAGTTCACTGACAACTCTTAATATGTGAATATAGTTGCTGACTTTACAAAACAATATTTAGTTATTCATATTTGATCACTGGAGACTAACAGATAAACTTATACTTGTTAAACCTGTTTGGTTTATTTTTAAACAAGTGCATTTTATAAGCAATTTCAAAATTTTTGTTCACACATGAAAACTTGTCATGTATTATCATAGAAAATGTTATTTTGACATTAGTAGACAGTAGGTGGGAAAAGGTTAGGTCACATGGAAAAACCTAACTTTCACATTCAGTAACGTGTTTTTTTCAGTAAATGAATTCTATACGCAGTATAGAATTTATCACAAAATTTATCCTCAGTAAAGAATATAAATAAAATGTAGTTTTTGCAAGGCATTAGATGAACTTTCAGAATTAGAGAACTGAAATCTGATTTCAACCAGCTGCTGTTGAGTGTCCAGTCACATTCTATAGTCTTTGTGAACTGTTTTTGTTTTTTTTCGGTTCAGAAGTCTAATTTGTGGAGAAGGGAGTTCACTACAGTTTGTGTAAATACATATATATTTCTTTGTGTAATATAAAAAAGCAGTTATTAGTAAAATTTTAGTTGTACTTTCCAGTTAAATTTATTCAACTGCTAGACATCACAGAAATAGGTATATTTAAGAATTTATTATAAAGCTCCTCTACAACTTAAAGGCGAGAGGGTCTATTATGATTTTTTATAAAATCAAATAGCATGACAGAACGTGTCATCTGCTTAAAATGTGTCTACATTCATGGTGTTTCCATTAAGTACACAGAATTATCATGGCAAGGATAACAGTTACTAGTGACTAATGGTTCACTTTTAGCTGACCACCAGAACACTAGCTAAAATGGTTTCAGTGACTTGAGAAAAATATCTTGAAGGTTTTTATGATTGCATCAAATTAAATCTTTACCTAGTATCTAATATCTGCTCTTATGTTCTGCTTTACCTTAGGGATTACCTTCTAAAATTTGGTCACACCAGCAAACTGAAACATCTTAATGTAAATAAAGAATTTATACTAACATTACTCATCTGTGTAACAGTATTTAGGAAATACATTTCTGCCTTGTATGTCCACTAATAGCAATATGGTGTTTAAAGTGTTATCCAATATTTCATGGGTATGATTAGTTATGCTTGTTTGCATACCTAATGTCAAGCTTTCTTTTTAAAAAATAGTTAATTTGCTTATTTTTGGTTCTCAAAAATAAGCAAACCTCAGTTCTGTAGTATCTGGACCTTCAGTTGATTTTTTGCTTTCACTTTCCAAAACTTAAATCATTCACATGTTCCCCATTTCTATTAGTGACAAAATCATTTGTTAAACTCTAATTGTAAGAGAGGTTCAGCTTCTGTTATCTTGAAGTAATTGTACCATACTGGGTAGTCATTCCCAAGGAAGTAGCCTTTCTTTTCTCAAGTGTCTGTGTTCTAAAACGTCTACTGTTTATAGAACTTAGAAACGGTAGTACATTATTCAGAATAGTAAGTCTTACCAAAGTGCTTATGTTTGTTTTCTTGGTAGTTTTTTTTTTTTTTTTAAGTTTAAAAGTAGTAATTAAACCTATATTTTGTGATTGTTTCCTGGTCTGTGTTTTGAGATTCTTTCCCTTTTCCCTAATTTCACTGATGAAGACGTGTTTAGATATTGAATTTGTTTAAATATTAAATGATTTTGTTAAAAGCACAATTAATCACATTGGTTGTATCTTCAAGACAGACTTTAAAAAATAAACAGAATTTAAAACAATGTGATTTTAGATTAATGTAATATATAGACACCCTTAATCTCAAAGCCACAAACATATAATTCATATCACAAAAGTGCTTTGACTTGGTTACAACCCTAAAACATGACCTTTAATATTATGTAACTACAAATATATTTCTCTTTAAGGGCATCATTGTAGTCTTTTAAAACTATTTTATCTGGAATTATTTAAACAAACTTTTACTATTCTAAAAATATAAATATACTACCCTAAGTTCAGAATATATAAAATGCTAAAAGTATAAACATTTTGGTACATTTTTTTCTTGTTTCAAGTAGAAAATACAGTTCCAAGTAGTTATTACTATATATGAGAGAAAAAAATGTTTAAAACACTAACTCAATGATTTACTGTCTGAAGTTAAGGATTATTTATTGAGGTTAAAAGACTCACCTAAGTAAGTTCTTCAGAATTCTATTTAGTGTAGTGTGTGCCTTTTCTCATATAATTTTAATGTGAATACTTTTATAAACTTAACAAATGTTACTGTGTATTAATATACATTTCTTAGGATTAATGAAGTGGAAGACTTCAGGAAGATTTTAGACGTGACAAAGTTTCGTAGCCTAGGCCCCAAATTTAAGTGTGCACTAACCCTTGATTAAAGGAGTTTTCAACTACACTGGCTTTTCCAGTAATGACAAATTAGCATTCCTGAATACCTACTTACTAATACAGATACTGATAAAGCAGGACATTTCTATAACTGCTTTTTAATTATTCCATTTCATGAACATCTAAACATTAAACAGACCCCAAAATAAAGACCAATTTATAAAACTGGACCATTTTAATGTTCTTTACAATAAAATAAATAGGTCAATGAGTACAGACATGTAACCTGTTTGGTAGTACTCAGAAACATCACAGGTAAAGATGGTTTTCCTGATTGGTGCATAGTCTTCAATAATTATAAGGAGTTACTTGTATGAAACTACTGTCAAACCAGTAAGACTGCATTTATGCATCCATCGTTTTCAGGATTGTTGGTAACCTGGGCATATTTTCCTAAGGAAACAATATGGAAAAAAGATGTTAGCTAATAAAAATTAAATTCAAAGGATATAACATTTGTCTCAAGTATTTCTAATTTACCACTTTTAAAAATCACAGACCATAGTCTTCCCTTTCAAAGATTAAAGTTTAGACATATCTGGGCAGTAAAACCAGATAAGAAAATGAGGAAAAAATAATTTTTAATTGCTACATGATGTTTCAGTTTTTAATTATTATTGAAATAGTGTGGCTATTTCAGTAGTAATTTCTCCCACTCATGATTAATTTATTATATTTTCTTCCAATGTTTTTTAGTTACATCTTTATATCTGCTTCCTTCATAATTACTGCCTTTTAAAATAAACAGCATCAAAATAAATCTAGCAATGTAATACATCTTATGTAACTGAACCCAATAAGGTAAATTAAAAAGAATTATATTCGTGACTTTTTCTACAAAAAGTATTCTTCCTAAAGAGTTAAATCAAGTTTTAACTCATCTAGCACTTCTGCATTACTTTATGTCAACTTGAAAATTTCTCTTTTTAGGATTATAAGAGCAGCGTCCCCATATAAAAAATTTACTTACCCCAAATAACCTTGCCTCCTTGTGTCACAAGGCCCAACTCGCTCACATTCACTTCAATGACAGTACCTTTGGTAATAACACCCAAAGTTGTATAAAGTGGGGATGAGGGATTTTTCTTTACACCAAGTATTGGCAGGCAAAAGGTGGCTTTCAGTTCAGGATGTGTTACATGGGCCTTCTTGAAACGTAAGCCCTAGTAAGTCAAATACAGGAATGTTTGAATCCAAATGTTAATATAAGTAATGATCCTTTTTACTTATCTTTCTCAAGTATCCAAAAAAAGGAAAAAACAAAAGACCATGGATTGAATGTCAAATCTTAAGGCATCAAATAAAAATACTTACAATTAATTCTACAGACTAAAAGCCTGATAGTTACAGGATAAATCAACTATCCTATTTTTTTTTAATGATAAAATAAGGATTGGCAGGTTAAACGACTTGTTCCCAGGTTAAATGGTGTGTGGATAGAATCAAACTAAAGCATCCTGATTCTGAGTCTTTATATAACTCATCTAACTTCCAGGATGAAAAAGTGGATGGGCTGTCAACTTTCTTTGCATTGATGTTAATTAACACTGGTCAAGAACTAAATAGAGCCCAGAGATGTCTCTCTTACAAGAGACCAGTCACCCAGAGTCACCTAGATATGGTCTTTAGGAGTGCAGCACTTTAGAACCCACAACACTTTGCAATCTCTTAAATTTGATTTTTATCTATATAGAGGTAAAAATGATACTAAAGTTCTTAGTAAAGGACTCATTAATCGATCTGGTAAGAAACATACCATTCAGAATGCCATCTGATTAATTCACAATAAGAAGTATATTTGCCAAGCTACAGAAAGCCTAGAACAGCCTGACAGGTATATTCTCTCCCTGTAAAACTGATAAGGTTAACAATATGTATTTATAAAACTAAGAATATGAAATGAAAACAAGGGGAGCCTATGATGTAATCCAAGGATGGGTGAACATTTCAGGCTTTGCAGTCCATATGGTCTCGATTGCAATTACTCAAACTCTGTAGTAAAAAATAGCCATAGACAGTATGTAGATGAATGAGCATGGCTGTGTTCCAACAGAACTTTATTCACAGAAACAAGCTGTTTGACATTTGAATCCATTAAAAATTATTCAGGTTGAGAGCTAGAGTAACACTGCCAACTTTCTTCTCTATGATTTCTTTGTTTCTCTAAGCTGGCTGGATATCCAGTTGGGAGAGTAATTGTCTGTTTAAAGGATTTTGTAAAAACGTTTATCTTCAGGGGTGGGGGAGATGATTGGTTTTAACCATCACTGTTGTTAATAGAAAGGAAAATCCCACTTATATATTAAATTCTTTTTTCAGTGATTGCATACTGATTGTTTTCAAAAGCATTACGATACTTGTCTTACTAAACTAGAATTGACTGCTGAAAAAACTATAGTTTTCTGTTCTGAGACAAATGTCAGCATACAGATCACTTATTGAATGAGTAATGACTTCATGTGGAAAAAAGATTATGGCATGTTTAAAAGTCAAGATGCACTGACAATGTAATGAAAATTCTTTTTAAATCTCTTATGAAGCTGTAAGACAAGAAAAGGTGCTAAGCAATCCCTAATAACTTAAAAATAGCCTAAAAACATCTTTCAACCTGTTTTTCATATCAATTTTAGGAATTTCAGGAAATTGCAATGTACTTTATCCAGTTTAATACAGGAACTAATATGTAAATCACTGCTCTCTTGCAAGGGACTTACCATTGGCCTAATGAATCTTTCATATTTAGGTGGTTTTCGAGTAAAGCCATCTCCAACAAAGCAGACTTTAGTAACCATCCTCTTCCATGCTTTCTTCTTTCTCTTTCCTGTTCGAATAACTTTTAATACCTCTGTTTCCCCCTGAGCACGAACTTTGGGCAGAGGGACTTCCCATTTTCCCTAAAAATAGACCATAGTTAAAATTTATAGTTAGTAAAAGACAATGAGAACAAAAAGTCAAATATGTTTCAGTTGTACAAAGTAGTAGATTTGCTTTTCCTTAACTAAGATTTTGGCTCAATTTTCTAGAAGTCTGTGCTGTCTTCTCACAAGCCCTCAAATAACTAGAACTAGTTAAGTTTATATAGCATATATTAAATAAAAAGGTTTGCTTTAGCTAAAAATCTTAATGTCTTGTTATGGATGAATACTACTACCTGTAATAAGACAGTGCCTTATCTAGGTAGTATATGTGCTTACTACTAAGTAGATAATAGTATAAAATTGGAAGACTGTCTCCACCTCTTTAATATATCTTTGTATTTCTACCTCAAATGAATTTTTAGATTACTAAGACAAAATAATCACCAGATATTTGTACTTCCCTAGAATGCAAATTTTATGAAAACAACGAAGCAGTGCAAGGTATAGAATTCTGGAAATTACTAAGACAAATTCTAGAAGCAACTCTACATTTATTTTCATAGATATGTGACCATGAAGAATGGTTACATACCTCCATGACTTTAGTCTCAGTCTGTAAAATGAGGAGGGTTTAACTAGATAATCTCTAAAGTTTCTTCTGGTGCTAAAGTTATACCATTCTAATTTTGGATAATTACCAAAAAACAAGAAGTAAAAATGTAAAAATCAAATTTTAAGACTATAAGTTTTTACAATATAGTTACCACATATTCTGCTACCTGGATTTCTATCAATCTATCCACAGGTATTTAAAAATAATATCTACACCTTTTTCTCTCGTTTTTAGCAGAATTTAACCTAATTTGGCACCAAGCCTATCCAAAAGTATTTTTTTAAGAATTGAGTTTTTATGTAATCACTTAGGGTGTTTTCCACTATTCTACTTTTTAACCAATTTTGGCACTGCAGGGCAGCATAAACAAGCAGCAGTTGTTTCCTTCTCTGTAACAGCACAGTATTAGGAATTGTCAAGAACAAGAAGCCATAAAAGTACTAAATTTGAAATTCATTGCTTACTCACTTTGTTTTTAAATAATTTTTTAAAAACTAAAGGTATTTGGCATTCTGATTTTCAAAAAACATGTCAAATGCTAAAATGCTGGTTGATGAGAAAACAAAGTTTATTATTTAAACATCAAAATGAAGTTTATTAAGACTTTAATATCTAAATGGGAATAGCAGTTAACTTCATGTTTCTAATTAAACCAAAGAAACAAACTAAGAACCTCAAATTTGAAATTAAGTAATTCTCCTGAACAAAATGGAAAAAAAACTTCAATTTTTATTGCTTACCGCTTTCTCTTTTCGTTTTTGTTTAATCATATTGGAAAGTACTTTGGCTCGGGACTGTCCCTCTCTGTCCAGTAGATAGGCAGGTACTGCTCCTTGTGGAGTCTTTTCATCATTCTTTTGTTTGGTGTTTCTCTTTTCATGCATCTTGATACTACCAGGAAGGAAAAAGATTCAAGATAATTTTAAAGAACTATCACTCAAAATATGTTAACTTGATACAAAAAATAAATGATCACTTACGTCTTTTTCATTTGTATCTTCTCAGCATGGCGCTGTTTATGGTAGAGCTTAGCTTTGAGACCAATCATCTTTTTTGCCTTCTTTGAACGTTCATGAGCTTCTCGACCTTCCTTCTTTCTCTTTTTCTCATGGTAATCCAAACGATATCCATAGCGCTTACGGTGTAACTCAATATACTCGTTTTGTGGCTATAATGCAAGAAACAATCTCTTTTGAGCGGCATATTTAAGTATAGAAGACCCTATGTCACCCAAATGTTCTCTTGCTTAAATACCTTTCAGTATTAAGCCTATTCAAGACGTTAAGTTAAATTTTGACCCTGGATGATAGGCATCAGGATCGACATCTGTAATCTCAGTGAAAGTTACTGTTCACTGAAGGCAACTGTTCAAAATCCACAACCACAAAAGGGATGATCTGATTCAGGATTTCCTTTTTTTCTGAACATCAGTAGTCTAGTTTTTCAATAACATCATCGTTGAGATGCCCCATGTTGTTGTATGTATCAGGACTTCATTCCTTTTTACGAACAAGTAGTATTCCATTATATGTATAAACCACTGTTTATCCATTGACCAGTTTTTAGTGAATAAATCTGCGCACTGAGCTTTTTGTGTGGACATAAGCCAACTGTTTTCCAATGTGGTGGTACTATTTTGCATTTCACCTGCAATGTATAAGATCTCCTTGTGCTTTTTAAATGCCTGTTTTATATAGCCCTTAAATTTTGTTTAAACACACGGCCCCAGCCCATCAGTATTTTAAGACCGCAAAAATTAATGATACAAAGCCAACTCTAGCACAGAGAACAGTGTTAAGTAACAACAAGGTATTACGTATCAGTTGTGGTGTTTTCAACTGCTATCACAAAAGTTTTGCAGCAACCATAAGAAAGAAATGTGTAATGCTGTTTTACAAAGAAACAAAGATTAGAGATGTGCAGAAAGGATCGGACAATCAGATCTGAGATGTAAGCCCGCCTACGCAATTCATCATCAGATGCTTGGCCCGTGGCAAGGCATGCCTTCCGTTTACTTACTCAACAGTAAAAGGAGGTGGCGGCGGGATTAGAGCCTGCCACATAAGGCTATCGCTAGGTTCTGGTACCAATGGCCACGCAACGAGGAAATTCGTTGTGGCGAAACAAGGAAATTCGCTCCAAAGCCCGTGCTTTGGCAAATACCCCATATCTAACATATCCCCAGTGTGTAGTTTTCTTCACTCCACGGAGACGATCCCTCGGAGTTTACCCTCATTCCTTTCAGGAGTACCTCACTTCCGCCTACTACGCCTCACCCCTAGCCCCAGCGCCCAGCGGCCCTCGGGAACCCCCAGGCCCCACCAACTGAGACGCCTTAGACCGCAAGCGCCGGAGGCATCCTCCTCACCATGATTACGGCCGCCGAGCCGCGGGGCGCAATCCCCCGGACGCAAAGAAGTTCTCAAGTTCTCGAGTCTCGGAGACCCGCGAGCTGACTCCACGCAACTCGCGACAGGAAAGGGACACTTCTAAAACGACCGACTCCAGCAAAAGCGCAAAGCATCCGTTCCGAGCCGCTGTTCTCCGACTTCAGCGAGAAGGGCGGAAGTTGCTGGCAGGAGGCATTTGAATGGTGCACCGCAGGAAGTGGAGCAGTGCGGCGTTCCGAGGCTGCCGAGGGAAAAAAAAAAAAAGAAGTCGGGTTATGGAGGTGCCAGGGCGTTTGCTGAGATAGGAGAAAGTTGCACCGTGCAGCCTCTGCATACATTTGCGTGGCGCGCACCTCTTGTTCTGAACAGCCTAGTGGGAAAAAGCTGGCCTCCAGTATGCGACTGAGCGCCAGGTGGGGACCGAACCACGCCTGCGACTTCCGTGCGACTTCCGCGTGCCTGAGACCCTTGACCCCTTTGGGCACTGCTGACCTTCAAAGATGCAGCATCCCTTCTTATATTATCAGGTGTTAAACAACTTTTGGTAAGCAGTTATGTATTCAAGGCCTTAAAAGCTCTGTGCTTTATACTATAAGGCTTATTCTGTAAGGCTTATAGAATAACTCGCTTGATAGCACCAGTAGGAAACAATTTCGTTAAAGTTCATTGACCCATAGAGAAGAAGAAAATCAGTAGAGGGCCATAAATATAGGTTAAAAAAATGTTTGAGGCATTGTGCTGGGCACTGCCGGTAGAAGATCTCTCCTTTGAGGGAGCTCCCAGCAGTGGATATAATTTGTAAATATATTTGTCAAGTGTAAATATAAGTTCCAAGTGTTATAAAAATAGAAGGTAATATTAAAACTTTCTAGGAAATTAGGAAAGACTTTCAAGCTGGGCCTTGAAGATTGAATAGAAATTTACCAGTTCTGGGATTTGGGGGATTCTGGGGCTGCTTTCAGGCAGTGGCAACGTTGCACACAAAGGTGTGAGGTCTCATAGCACGGTGTTTCTGGGGAATTTTGAGATCCCCAGTACAGAGTGGGACAGATTTGTCATGTTAAAAATCTTTAGAGTTTTAAGTAGGGAAGTGTCAAAATGAGGTTTATTTGAAGGATATCTATAAAGAATGGATTAAAGCAGTATTTCCCACTTTAGTGATTTGAGTACTACCTTTTAAGACTGTTTGTATCTGAATGTCACTTGTGCTGTTATTTACTTAATATTTTTCCGTAAATTAATTCAAACTTTTATGTAAGTAAATTTAACTTCATCTTAACACTTTCAACAAAATCACAGGTTCTGTCTGCTATTTTTTTCCAATATTTTGTAAGCATTTTTTTTTTTTTTGTCTGTAATCTAAAATAATCACAGGCATTCTCTGGGAAATATGGCATTGGAATAAGTTTTCAAAATTTTTTAATCATACTCTTAAAAATGACTCAGCTCCAGAGTTTTGTTTATGTGGGTTATTGCTATTCAAATATTAGAAATTAAAACAAAACTTTAAAATATTTTAGTAATTCATTTAAAAATAGTAAATCCATTCAATGTTCATACAAGTAATATAGTTTTATGAAAATGCCTGTATTTTCCGAAATGAAAGTAGTGTAGTTTGAAGAGAGCTTTCCATTGCTTTACAATTTTGTATGTCTTTTTAATGTCTGGCTTAATTGAAAACAGCTGGCATCTCATATCTGCTTCTGTATTTTATATGTTACTATATATTTTTTTTATTTCTGATGGAATTGTATGAAGAAAATTCAGCCCCATATATATGTGAAATATAGTTAGGAAAGGGAGGATTATTTTAATCTTTCTAGAAAATTGTGGCTCATCTTAGATGTAGGCTTTAACAAATGGTAGTTTATTCAAGATTATTTATAATATGGAATCAAACCACATTAGTGAGCTTTTCGTATTGTTATGTTAGAATCCATTGTTCTATTAGAATAGATCTAACATGCATGGTTTTGCAAACATCCTAAACTTTGGCATTAGAAATGAAGAAGAGGGCATGGATTCAAGGTATATTTAGGAAGTAAAATCAAAAAGATTTAATGACCTCCTGAAAATAGATATGTTTCTTAAGGTAGAGAAAATAGATTTACAAGAATAATGAGTTTCGACATGGCTTATTGCATAACGTGATGCACAATGGTTTAACCTTATCGGTTTACTTGTCTCCCTCCCACCCCCGTTTAGTCAGATGCTTCCATGCATTTCTCATAGCTTTGATAGTGTACTTGAAACATTGTGAATATTTAATAAATTTTTAAAACTAAGGATGCATAGTTTCTATAATCATAGGCCTTGCTTATGTATATTTTTAATCTGATTTTATTTTTATATATTTATGCTAGAAAAATCAATTTACAGATAAACCAAAAAGTTAACATTGCCAATGAGAAATTACCAACATGTAGATGCTTACCTTTCTATACTTCTACACATTTACATAAAAATTTTGGTTGGTGTGACTTATTTTTGTAATTTCAGTACATGTTTTACTGCAGTCATATTTTTATTGAATTAAAGCATGTTGAAAAAATAAGGCACAATTTAAGCTCGACAATCATATTTCTCATGTTTAGTCAGAATTTTCATTTTCTGAATGATGCATTGTTTTTGTTTTAATTTTTTTCTTTTTTCCATCTTTATTGAAATATGATAGACAATTAGTTGCTTGTTTTTACAATGTACAATGAATTTTTTTTCACTTATAGTTGGCATACAATCATATACCAGTTTCAGTTGTATAGCATAGTGATCAGAGATCCACATAGCTTATAAAGTGCTCACACCACTAAATCTAGTCCCCCTGTTCCCTCTTACATAATTATTACATTATTAACTATCTTCCTCGTGTTACACTCTACATTTCCATGTCTATTCTGCAACTATCCTTTTGTACTTCTTAATCCTTTTGCCTTTTTTGTTCCCCCAACCCTCCTCCCATCTAGTATTCCTCTAAATATTCTCTGTAGCTATGAGTTTATTTCAGCTTTTGTTGTTGTTGATTTTATTCTTTAGATTCCACATGTACGTGAAATCATGCGATATTTGTCTTTCTCTATCCGACCTATTTCATTCAGCACAATACCCTCTAGGTCCATCAAGGCAATGTCTTTTTCCATCCCTTTCCTTTTTGTTTGTGTGTCTTTTAATCTGAAGTGAGTCTCTTGTAGGCAGCATATGTAGGGTCTTGTTTACTTATCCATTCAGCCACCCTACCTTTTGATTAGAGCATTTAATCCCTTTTTATTTGAAATACTTGTTGATAGATATGTAGTTATGGGTATTCTTTATTCCTGTTTTTGATGCATATTTTTCTCTTCTTCCTAAAGAAGTTCCGCTAACATTTCCTGTCCCTGGTTGTAGATCTTGGGTTTTCATCCTGTTGAATATTTTTTGCCAAGCCCTCTCTCCTGCATAGTTTCTTTTGAGAAATCAGCTGCCAGTCTTATGGGTATTTCCTTATAAGTAATTATCTGTTTTTCTCTTGCTGTTTTTAAGATTCTTTATTTGTATTTGACCTTTGGCATTTTAATTATGATGTGCCTTACTGTGGGCCTCTTTGGGTTCCTGGTTTTTGGGATTCTCTGAGCATCCTGGGGTTTTATGTCTATTTCCTTCACCAGGTTAGGGAAGTTTTCCATCATTATTTCTTCAAATAGCTGTTCAACATCTTGTTTTCCTTCAGGTACCCCTATGCCATGAATATTTTTACCTTTAATAATATCCTGTAGGCTCTTTAAATTATTATTATAGTCTTGCCATTCTGATTGAGTGTCCTTGGCTTTCCCATCCTCAATATAGGTCATTTGATCCTCTTTTTTATTCACTTTGTTTATTCCGTTTAATATACTTCTCATCTCAGATAATGTGTTCTTCATTTCTGACTAGTTCCCTTTTATAATTTCCATTTCCATTTTTATGTTTTTTATCTCTTTGTTGAAGTTAGAGGTAAAGGCCACACCAGAAACTGAGGCCAGCTGGCTCCAGCATGAGCCTAGGCGCTGCTCAGCAAAGAGCTCCTGACTCCCTGAGGATACAGCCGGATGTGGCTTGGGTGGAGCCACGAACTGGGGGAGGCAGGGTTTCAGGGAATCCTCTGGGCAGAGCAACGTCTGTTATCCAGTTTGATGCCCTATGGTGGTTCTGTGTTGAGGAGAGCACTGGAAAGAAAAAGGGCTCAGCAGGGAACAATGGATACTGCCCACACCTCTGTACAGAGTGAGTCTAGCCTCGACCCTCACTGCGACCACTCAGTGTCCTGTAAGTCCCTTTGTCCTTTGTAGCCAAACTGGCACTGGTGCTCAGAGTGAGCAAGTCCGTCACCAGGAAAGTCCGCTAGCAGACACATCTGCAGCCTCCATCCCACTCAGCCACTGGGACCAGGCAGCCTCGTGTCCTGGCCCCATCCTACCGTCTGCCATTGCAAGGTGATTTCTTAGATTTCTCCCTAGTTGTATGGCTTGTTCATCTAGATCCCAGGCAGTTTTTCCTTGCTGTTTGCCCCTTGTTTCTGTCACAACTTTGATTTGGTCACCAGAGGGATGAACAGAGCCTCACTCTATCTACACCATTTTTTTCTGCCCCCGATACATCGTTTTTGATAGCTAAAATTATTGTTCCTACTTTTTAAAAGTAATACATTTTATGATATATATTACTTATGCTTATATATGTCTTACTGACATGTAATATGTAAACTTAGTTTTATAATTTTGTATATTTTTCAGAGAATAACAGTTTAGAGGGCCAAGATGTCCAGCTTGAGGATATTTGCTGTGAATCATAAAAAAGTGTCCAGCTTGCACATTAATGTAAGTTTTCTTGTAAAATTAAATGTACTTCAACAATTTGTAATGTAATGTAATGTAATTCAACAATTTCAGTTACTTTACTTTCCAAAAGACATAGTATATATCATATACTAGTTTATCTTTATCTTCAGTAGTTTCTTAACAGGGAGTATGGGAGAATCAGTAACCAAGAAGAAGCATGCCTCATCATTAGTTTACAAATTCATTTTTCTACCTTAAAATCACCTGCGCAGCATTTTGAAGAACTCTATTTCTCTATTCCATTTTGAGGTCATTAGTGGCCTAAGGAGTTAAACAGTTTTTCTT